GTTTTTATTTATTTATTAGTCAACAAGCAGAGCATCCGTTCCATGTTGAGTGTCGTGAATTATTTACGCACTCAGCCACGGACCACACGGGGAAGAGGCACCGCTAGCAGCACACCGTGGGAAAATAATTTCTGGCTTGATCTGGATTATCTCGAGGTAGCACAYGCTGCGCACAAGTGTTCTGCTCACTTCACCGCCTTGTTGTACACAGAAATATGGAGTGATATTCAAAAGTAAGTAAACATCTCATCGATGTAGTGYTATAGTTATACTTCATGTTTGCTAGCTTTCATAGTAAAGAGCGCACAGGTTAACATGGAAATACAAAAGAAATACCATAAATTTCAACGAAAATAAGTATAACTTATTTTGTGGTTTCATGTTAACCTTGCATCCAAGACAATTTTGAGAAGGGTCCATTTAGAGTTTTCCAAAAKTTGCCAAAAAGAAAGWGTTCACGGTACGGCGCGTAGCACAGTAAATCATTTTGAATTTTTGTATACTTATTTGCTGTTTCCAGATCGCAGTCAGAGACGCCACTCAGCATTACCCTCCCCACCAACAGCCAAGACATACAAATGGAAGACCACAGCCACAGCACGGACAGTGGAGTGGGGACGAACTTCCAATCTCTTCTCCTAGATATATACAGCAATATCGGCGAGCCAGACAGTGTCTATGGAGCTGGCGCAGGACGCCTGGCTGACATCGAATCAAGGATAAGAACTTACAAGCATGAGAAGGCCTGGGGCAAAGCACTGGGTAAGCTGGGAAATCTTTAAGATATAGAGATTTTTTAAAAATCCCTGTTACACTTTGAAAGTTTTARCTGAATCTTGTGTGGAATAAGAATTGCGAGACAGTTTTCAGAGTGTTACAAGGCGCAAATTAGGGAAGGTAMGTTTTGTATTGGGGGAGGGAGGAGAGGGTGGAAATATTTCCAATATGGGGTCTATTAAGTTCCTTCCCCGAAAACAGTCCCACAATGCACTGCAATCCCCAACTCGACCCAGTTTTTCAGAGTGTTACAAGGCGCAAATTAGGGAAGGTACATTTTGTATTGGGGGAGGGAGGAAATATTTCCAAGATGGGGTCTATTTAGTTTCTTTCTCGAAAACAGTCCCACAATGCATTGCAATCMCAACCCAGTTTTTCCCTCTACCTCAGAATAACTAATACTACCGAAACCACAATGACAAAAAGAATACTCAAATGTCCCTCTAGTATTCATGTTTATTATTTACTAAAGTGAATCTTCAAGTTGAACAATACCAATGTTTTGAAATCTCACGGACCTGTTTAGAAACCATTAAACCACTAGAATGGAATTTGTGAATAGGTCACTTATAAACGAAGCTAAAACCTGTACAAATWAGCCCGTGGTCTTCAAAAACAGCGGTATGCATCGATGGCAAAACTGGCGTATCTTATTGCCAAGAGAATGACATTTAGTCTGAAATGGGGAAACACTTGGCCCAAGGTAAATAGGTCTGTACGTATATTTGCATATTAATAGTTGTTTCCCTTTCCTCTCAAGGTGCGTATGACTTGCAAGTACAAGAGAGTTCGTCAGCTCATACTGGAATGTTACAAGTACTGAATATATGTATATTATGTATATGTATATGTTTTTCTTTCTTGTTCTCTTTTGACAAATCGAACACGCGACGAAAAAAATAAATAACGTTCACTACATAATAAATCTYGTCAACAGGCTTTGAAAAACTTCGGCTTGTATCACGTGATGCAGCAGTACTTGAAAGGACTTGAAGGCGAAGCTGTCCACAGTAGCAACGAGGTATTTGGCTTCATTAGTAGTTCAGTACACTTAGTAGAACTTATTCGTTTTGGTGCATTGATTTCCGTTACAGAACACGTGACATTCATAAGAATATGATTTCTTTGTTTACCGGTTGCACGAGAAGAAACGTGACTGATCTTGGATACAACTAAAACAAGGAATCTTATATTTTAGGCAATGACACGTAGTCTGAAATGGGAAAATATTGCAGCACCACGAAATAGCAATGTTTACAACATTCACGGCCGTGTTGTATCAGCTATACAATCACGAGCCGTAGGCTAGTATGGCCGATCTGATACGATACGGCTGCGAATGTTGTAAACAACTTGTGAAATTCACTAATAATTCAGAAACTAATCTAGTATAACTTAAATTGAGTAAGAACTGTAAAAGGCAGGGAAGGAAGGAGAAGGAATTGTATTAATTAAGTCAAGACACACTAAGCTCTGTAGAAGAGTTTAATCTGCCAGAGAAGAGCTTTTTACATTTTTCCTGAAATTTTTGATATGTGGATATATATGATATATACAGTGGCGGATCCAGGGRAGGGGTGCAGGGGGTGYRCACCCCTCCCTGGTTCGACTTTGTGTCCCTWCTTCAAAGATTTAACCAATACATAATTATGKTTTTTCCCTTTGATTCTAARGGGTGCACCCCTCCCTGGGTTAACTATGTGCGCTGCACCCCTCCCTGAACAAATTCCTGGATCCGCCCCTGATATATTTCTGAAGGCAGTTCATTCAAAATGGATGGTGCMGTGGAAGAGAAACGACGTTTCCCAGCATTGGTTTTGGCAATAAACCAGCGATAGTTATTTCATTATCAAATTACTGTAAATAACACAAACCAAATTTTTAACTTTTTTTAAAATAATTTTTTTAAAATTGAAGATAGCAGAACTTCAATACGAGTCTGCCTGGAGAAACTGCGTGTGGGATGTTGAATTAGAGTCCAGGTACGGAGAATTGTCACGTGCATGCTGATTCTATTTTTGGCTTTGAAGTTTCGTGATGGGCCCCAAAGTATTTTAATAGCCATTGCCAACAAAAGRGATTGAGTGCTTCTAATGCGATCGTAGGTTTCGTAATCACGAGACATGTGGCGTCGAGCGCTTCAGTAATCAGCCTTTGACTCACGTGAGACTAAGCAATCACTCCTTGCGTGTTCGACGTAACACACATATATATGATGATTTGTCGGTACTTTTTGCGTGTGAGCTGCACAATTTCTGTGTTAACGCGACTCCTTCCGGTGGCGTGCGCTGCTAATGCGCCGCCTCTTACCAAAGCGGCCCGAGTTCGAGTCCAGCCGATCTCGATGTCTTATGTGAGTAGAGTTGTTTGTTGGTTCTCTCCTGTGCTTCGAGGGTTTTTCTCCGGGTTCTCCGGTTTTCCTCCCTCCTCAAAAATCAACTACTAAATTCTAATTAGATCTCTGGGCTTTCACTTAGTTTGGAGCCTAGCTCTGTTGTGATCGTCCCACGCTGTGATGCAACAACTAAACCAGGAAGATTAGATTTTTTCCCCTGTTGTTTTACCCTGGAAATGATAAAGTTAAAAAGAAAGAAATATTTTGATCTGTGTTCCGTGTGTTTGTTTTGTAGYTCTGAGTGTTGTTCTATTGCTGGCTTCCATCGATCCATTCACACCGGGCTGTGTGCTCTACAGGACGGAGAGATGTCTCTGCTTAACTCCACTTTGACAAATGCCAAGTAAGTCCGCGGATTAGGAGTCTTTGTTATKCCAATGTCCAACCAAATAGTGCAAATAGCCGTTCCGAGGTCGAGGAAAAGACTGGGTCGAGTTGGCATTGCAGTGCATTGTGGGACTGCTTTAATTGACAAGATGGCGTCTCTTTCGTCCACAAAAAAGTCCCATTTCATTGTTATCTATGATTATGCCTTATGTATCAGAGGTCAGTCACGTGAGTCTAGAGAGTGTGCACAGTCTCTATCCGTTCCTGGTACAATCTTTATTGTTATCTGTGTTATAGATTATGCCTAGTATCAGAGGTCAGTCACGTGAGTCTAGAGTGTGCGCAGTCTATCCGTTCCTGGTACAATCTTTATTGTTATCTGTGTTATAGATTATGCCCTGTATCAGAGGTCAGTCACGTGAGTCTAGAGCTAGAGTGTGTGCACAGTCTATCCGTTCCTGTTACAATCTTTATTGTTATCTATGTTGTAGATTATGCCTTGTATCAGAGGTCAGTCACGTGAGTCTAGAGAGTGTGCGCAGTCTCTATCCGTTCCTGGTACGTTTACAGCAATTGGCAGAGCTACAGGAATTCAGCTTGAATTTTATGAGGTACGTTATTTTAAAAATAGTAACATCTCATTATTTAGACTAGGACGAATGTTTTTTTGGAAACGTTTACGTGGCCTGTTTGGTGATAYCCCCAATTCTTCGTTTGCWCGTTACGTCATCGCGGCCATGTTGGTGGTAATTAACARAAGACTGATTGTTTTAAACATCTTTAAAACTTTATTCAAACACAGAATCCCTTTATTAAATTTTGAATTTAGATATACTTGAACGTTCTTTAAGCTTTAAAGGCAAAGAGTTCAAAGCTTCAAAGGCAAAGTATTAATAGCGGCTTTGGAATAGTAATCKGAGTTTCTGGTGTATTSTAGGACGTTTGATAGTGAAACAGAMTTGTTGAGTGAATKSAACGAGCGGTTTCCTCTTCCAGACACCGACTTTGAATTCCTCGAACCAGTCCTCGCACTGCGCACGTCCATGCTGCAAACACTCGCAAGTACGAAAAAGGCACAAAAAATAGATGRTGTTGCACCAGTCTATAAAGGACTTGTGGGCCATCTTGAGGTCCAGGCCAGAATAGCAAGAGAAGCAAACGTTCCTCAGGTACGTATAGTATATATCTTTAAATGGCTATAGCCACCATCTTGAATTGTAAGGGAGAATAAACTTCATGATGACCCTCCCACCCAACCCAAGCGACCTGTTGCGACCACCTGCTTTCACAATAATACCGCTGTCCACATCGTGGACTACCATTTTCTTCTCTCCATATCTTATTAATAGGCCTTTTGCAACAGTAACGTGCTGATATATCACTTTGCTATCGAATCAATTCAGCCAAAGGTCTCTTTGGGAAGGCTCTGCTGGATGGCAAATAAACTTCAAAATGCTTCGTATATAAAATACTGTCCTCTTCGTTATCTGAGTCCAAGTACTGCATTGTAGGGCGCCGTATTAATTTTTTGGGGGGTTTGATATGCGGCGTTAATTCGCGGGCGGTGCTTATTGATAATTTTGGTCTTAGGTGCGGCGCCTATGGCGTTTAATCGGGGGGGGGGGGGGGGTTTAAAGGAGTAAATACGGTAATAAATTTCATTCATTTTCGTGTTATTAAAATTTTGACTTCAGGTTGCCGAGAAAGCATTATTCACGATTCGTCAATTCAATAATGACGTCATCGCAGTGCAGTCACGTGAGAGCGTAAACCTAGGAATCACGTGGTCGTGGCGTGTAGAAGAGGCTAGGTTACGTTGGGCTCGAGACGAACGAGAGACTGCTACACACTTGTTGAAAATATTGACCAAGCAGCTTGATAAAGTAAGACATGTAGAATGTTTGCCGATTTCATATAGGCGATAGGCAAAAACCGTTAGGAGATTTCTGCTTCTTATTCTCGTCAAGAACATGGATCTTAATGATGAGACTGATTCAATATTGTTTGCTTTGATGGTCATCCTCAAGTTTCAAGACCATAGAATATTTTTAACATCGTCTATT